CCCAGTTTGTCTTCGGCAGGACGGGCAATGGCACCCGCTCCTGCAACCTTGAGGATCACGGATGGCCGTCAGGGCCGGGTAGAGGCACCTGCAGCAGGGAGCAGGGCTTTTCAGATGACGACCTTGGAGACGCGAGCATCGCCGGACGTTGCAGGTATGCAATTTCCATTCCCAGTTCTTTTATTTTGTGCATGATTTCATTGTTATGGTTCTGCATCATTATCGGTATGAGTATTTTATTTTGATTGGTTGATTGTGATCGAGTTATATGCCATCTGCATACCTTGGATATTTGTATGGTAGTTAAGGGATGTGCTCTATTGAAGAAGGTTTCGAAGGATGCAGTAACTGTAGCATGCTGAGGAGGGATTTGGTACGTTTTGCTAGTTCGGAGTGGTGCAGTGATGTGATGGATTGGCTAAATCCCTAGCTATGGCGGGCTTGGGTTCCTAAATCGATGGGGTATGGAATGATAGCAAAGATCGGGATTTCTTGAGTATTGTGCAACAAGGGATAAGCAGGATCGAAGTGGGGGAGAATCCTCCGGGTGTGCCCAGAGAGGAGCACACGCACCCAGAATAAGTACGTGACCTCCGAGAGGGAAGAGAAGTAGTTTAGCGTTTGATGGATTGAGGATTTCAGGGTTGGGAGTTTAAGAAACTCCACATCAGCTAGCGCGTGTGATGGTATTGGTTAGTTATGGTTGAGATTTCGGGTTGGGGATCGCCTGAAGGACTCGCGGGAGTCGGATTAAGGATCTTGAAAAGCCGATGGCATGTGGTGCCTTCAAATTAGCAGTCAGTGGTAGGGGTGTTGTAAGGCTACGGGTAAGCCGTAGCATTCTTTAGTAGCTTCGTTAGCGGAGTCGGGGCGAGGCCCTTATCTCCTAGTGATCAGGCAGGGATCCAGATTGTGTAGTGGGTGAGAATGATAGGAAGTTGCCCGTATAGCTCTAGAGAGGTGAGGCCTTGGGAGAGGCTGCTCCAGGATATAGTTGGGTGAGACCCGTGGGCGAGGCCCGTATGAGACTGGCAGTGTAGATGAGACCTGGGAGCCGGGTTGCTCAGTAGTAAGGTTGGGTGAGACCCGTGGGCGAGGCCCGTGAGTTTTAGCAGCGCGGGTGGGACCTGGTCGGGATCTTAGTGTCAAGTTAGGGGGTCGGGGATCCCAGGTTTGTAGTGCCTGGATGGCAGGATGGAATGAGCAGTTATAGATGGTCGAGGTTTCTTTGGAAGTCGCTGAGAGCGACCAGGGATGGTGTTGCGACTAGCTACCGGAGGGAACCGGTAATCCAGTCATTGATAGGTGGGTAGGGACCAGGGCGGTCCCGGTTTATCAGAAAGTCAGTCGGGGAATAGTTGAATTGCCAGTCGGTGGCAGTGCGAGTATGCAGCGTATGTTGGGGTTCAGTTAGTTGAGTCGAGGGGTGCTCGACACCAAGTGTTGGCAGGAAGGAGTGTCAGTGAGTGCTGACGATGATGACCCGTTCTGGGAATAGCAGGGAGGTGTTGGAGTTAGTGAAGGATAGGACCTTCTCGGTGTCAAAGGAAAAGTCAGTTATGAGGCTTTGCCTTGGGAAGGCAAGGGATTTGCGCAAGGAAGAAGTGGAGAACCTCTGTGGGTTCAGTGCAGTATTGGTGGAAGACCAACGCAGGTAGGTGGCTGGTGTGGGGTATTGGAGGTAGATCGTAGGCGGTGGGTCATGGTAAACTTCGAGGACGAAGTTCAGTTTAAGTGGGGGAGAGTTGTAACACCCACGATTTTGAAAGCCAAGAAAGTAAAGGAAACCCTAAATTTAAGAGGGACTCGATGAGTCCAAGGAAGGACTCGGCGAGTCGGAGCGGGATCCGGGTCGATAAGAAAGTGACCAACTCGACGAGTCGGCCAAGTGGACTCGGCGAGTCTGGTCTGTGCGAGGAAAACCATAAATCCGGGGCTTGGAGCCTATTTAAGCATCTCAATCTTCTTCCTAGGGCTCCTTTGCAGCCTCTCACACCCAGAACGCCGCACCTTAAGCCCCCATTGTGCTCATTCAAGCTTTTAGCCATTTTTGGGTGGGTTTAAGGAAGAAGAAGGAGTGGGAATCTTTGAAGCATCAGGGAGTGGCTTTGGATCTGAAGTTTGGGAAGCATTTCAGAGCATTGGAAGGTATCAATTCGTTTCTCTCCTCCAGATTTTCCTTGGTTATGAGTTTTGGGGCTTTTAAGCCATGTTTAAGACCAATCTTGAGCTTGAGGTCCAGATCTGAGGTTGCTACCTCAGATCCATGCTTGTTTTGGTATGGAATCCCAGAAAGTATCAGCCATTGGGTGGAAATTGGAGCCTCTTGGTCCTAAACCCTAGCTATGGGTGTATTTTGCCTAGATCTCCCTCTCTACACGTAAAGTTTGCAACTTTACGTGGGAAATAGGCTTGGGGAGGGTAGATCTACAGTTTGGAGCTCATGCATGACTCGGAAGTCCTCTGCATGTAAGTGGATCTTAGTGGACTCGACGAGTCCTTCGAGTGGACTCGGCGAGTAGCTTGAAGATGAGGAGGAACTCGACGAGTGGGATGGACAGCTCGTCGAGTCGGATGAAGATAGGCATGAACTCGGCGAGTTGGAAGAACAACTCGGCGAGTTGGATGAAGATTGCCGTGTGCTCGGCGAGTTTGTTCTTAGACTCGGCGAGTCAGATCGAGTGGTCCCAAACCCTTCGAGTTAAGACTCGAGTCAGCGAGTCGAGCCAGAACTCAGTGAGTTGGACAGGATAGGAATCGGGAATCAGTAGACTCGGCGAGTCAGGGGCTGACTCGGCGAGTAGAGTCGCGAGTGGAAGGACTCTGGATTTATGAACTCGGCGAGTCAGTAGGGTGACTCGGCGAGTAGGGTTGACCTGGGAGGTTGACTTTGACCAGGACATGGACTTTGACCAGAGTTGACTTGGTTGACCTTTGGAGGTCAGTTAGACTAAGTATGAGGTTGTTATTGGTAGCTCGGGGAGCTAGCGGAGCAGCAGTGCGGAGTTAGCGGTCAGGTAGCGGTCAAAGGGGTTAGCAGCAGCAGTTCAGCAGTATCAGGTGAGTTTCCCTTTGTATGAATGGGTCTACGGCCACAATGCCGGCCCATGTAGTTATGAGTAGAAGACCTGGGGGTTAGCCCTAGGCACAGTATGCTAGTATGCTATTTGGACGAGGTCCAATGACAGAGGGCGGGTGCCCAAGGAGCGGTTTATGTGATAGTCTATACTTGTTGCCTGTGTGATACTTGTATGTGCTTGGTAGGGAGGTGAGTGAGGGCGAGGACCCGTATCTCACCAATAGCAGAGTGTGGATGGTGTTCCACATCTCAGTAGCAGCAGAGTAGGGGCGAGGCCCAAGTTAGGAAAGGAGTGAGAGTGGGCTGGACCCGTACCTCACTATCAGCAGGAGTATGGACGAGATTCCATGACTCATCAGTAGTAGGACTCGGGCGGTCCCCGAGATAGGCGAGGCCTTAGAGCAAGAATTGTTAGTATATGTTTAGCTTATGTAATGTTATGCGATACGTTCATGTACTATTATATGTTAGTGGGCGAGGCCCGATGACAGGCGAGGCCTAAGTGAAACAGATCTGTATCCGAGCGGGGCTCGAAGCCAGGTGGGGCCTGGAGCGGCGGGGCCGTTATAGCGGGCGAGGCCCGGAGTAGAGGGCGAGGCCCATGGTAGCGGGCGTGGCCCAGTATGGGCAGTGTGTGATTTTGTATGGTATGTGGTAAATTGGGGAACTCACTAAGCTTTGTGCTTACGGGTTTCAGTTTTGTTTTTAGGTACTTCCGGTAGCGGAGGGAGGAGCTCGGGGTGATCGCATGACACACACCATAGTGTAGTCAGCCTGGGAATGTTACTCTGATAATAAACGTGTGTTTTGAAAACTTATACTCAGATCATGTTTTGGAATGATGTTTTGGTTTAAAGTAATGTTTTATTAAAAGAAATTTTTGGTCTTAATTTTTGGGATGTTACAGAGTGGTTCCATGAATGTAAGAAAACAATTCCAACTTTTCCAAATATAAATTCATGTAAACTCAAATTGGGTACATGTAAAGTTTTAGATAAATATTCAAATTTACGTATGTTTGTAAATGTATACTTGAGATCATTTTTTAAGTGTATGTGTTATGTATCTTTTAATAATCACAAGATGATGAAGTGTGATTGATAATTATTTCTCATGAGGTTTTGGTAAATCAACCATTAAGCTATTTATAAGTTAGAGAAATTAACTTTGTTAATATGTATGTATCTTTATGTTGTCTCTTTTTTATATGTTAAAAATATATATATTTTGTATACAAGAGAACATTATTCATCATGTATTTTATGTTATGTATATATTATGTTAGTTTTTATCACTTATTTGTAAATAACATCGATGGAGTTTTTTATAATTAATTTTGATGAAAGGAGTTTACAATTATTATTCTAAATTGTTGGTGATAATGATGAATTAGAACGAATGATTTTTAATATGATATGACTTTATTATTGAAAAACAATAATTATGTGTATTATAAAAATAAATTCTTTATGTTCTACCAAAACTTATATTAATGTATCCAATTTTAAATGTTTTTATATAAAAATACATCATTTTATTACATTTTGCTCTAAAACACAATTCAATGGCTTAAATCATTAAACCAACATTATCAAAATCCAATATGGTTTAAACTTTATTACCTTAAAGCCCAAGGCATTTACTCTATCAAATTATGGTTGCTATCCGGAATTATAAACATTTCAAAAACGGATGTTATAAATTTTTAATAATTTCCAACAAAAAACAATTTGTGGGTGATTTTTTAGCACAAAATGAAAATTAAGTGATTAAATAGAAAAAAATGACAAAATATAGTGGTTTTTTAGTCTTTTATATATATATATATATATATATATATATATATATATATATATATATATATATATATATATATATATATATATATATATACCTGAACAGAGTATTGTTCCTTGGGTTGGTTACTTTACATGACTTTGGTTAATTTCACTTGTCCACTGCCTCAAATAATCTACCTTTCATCACCAACTCCATTCAATGCTTCTCGATTCTTTAGATAAGCGCTCCACCTCGAATTTGCTTCTCATCGGCCTTTGCTTTTGTCACCGACATTTTCCTTCACCCCATATCCCCAATTCAGCCACCATTTTCCCCAACCTACCTCTCCTGCTCTGCATCGTTTGCTTTTGCCCTTCACTACCGTCATCGCCTTTGTTGCTTACGACTGTCTCCACCATTAATAATCAACACATATACACCTCCATTCACAGTTCCTGGTTCGGGTTCTATGGCTTCGATTATTTGGGAAAGCTTAGCTCCTCCGGTAAAAAAAATTTCTCTTTTTTCTAATTTTTTCCTCTTTATTTTCAACGAAAACTGTAAATTGGCTTCCACCGCATCTTCCATATCTGAATTTTGAAGTTGTACCCACCATTTGTGCATGCCTTGCGAAGCATACTCAAGTGGCTTATGCGTCAATCAGTGAGATGCCATGAAATCGAGGAGGGAATGTTGTTGTCGGTGGATCCATCATTCCAGACTATCAGGATCCAAATGGGAATGCTAGCGAGTGCATGCTTCTGTTGACCCAAAAAATAAAAGATTCGTTGAATTAATTTTGTAAAATAGGGCAGATTAGTACTCTTGACGGTCAAAGACTCGCAGTAGTCTCTGGGGCGCCGCCTGCTTCTCAAACGCCACAACCATACGCTTTTCTCATCAAAACGCTGTCGCTGGCACCCTTTTATCCCCAATTCGGAACCCTACTCATCTCTTTTCGTCACTTACTCCTCTCAAAAGTAATTACGCAATATTGATTTCTAATGAACTTTATTTTTTCTTGACTATGACGGACACAACATCCAAGTGCACTTTCCTTGTCTAAGAACTGCTTTCGGCAGTATAAATGCATCTGTTGTTCGAATGGGTACAACTAGCAGGTAGCTGCTCCATGTTATTCTTCCAAACTTATATTTTTAATCAATTAAGGGCATTTTATTTATTATAAGTAATTACACAATATTAATTGAACATATAAAGTACATTAGGTTATAAAAGGTTACACTCGTTGCGTCGCCCCCGTTGAAGAGGAAGCCACCGTCGGACGCTAAGGCTGTTGTCGTCGCTATTCCCGCTCAGCTCTTCGCCACCTTTCTTCCTCTGTTGTGTCGCCGTTATTTTCCAAGAACGATGTGCAGCTCCGCAGTGGGTGTTTCTGCCCGTGTGTGAGAGAGAGAGAGAGTGTGTGTGTTTCAATATGTATAACGGGTGTTGTTGGCCGAAGATCGAGAAAACCACCATGGCTACCGCCACTTTTTCTTTTCTACCCCCCGAGGTGGTAGTGGGTGGTGCCCGATTTAGTGAAACCTTAATTAAATTAAAACTTAACTTTGGACTATTTGGCATGCGATTGGGTTGGAAATCCAAATTAGGGTTTAGAAAACCCTAATTTTGGAGATGTTAGTTTTGGAATTGTCGGGACCCGCGTTTTGGACCGTGGGATTGGAATTATGATTTAAGTCCAACCATATTGTATGGTTGACCTAGTAGAGTGATGGACTTGATGCATTAAGTCCTTAATGGGTTAAGTGATCTTAATTAACCCAAATCGTCATTTTATGTGAAAACCCTAATTGTGTTGGGTTTTGAGTTGGGTTTTTTTGTTGGGCTTAGATGCTTGGATTCTTGATGGGCCAAATAAGAACAAGTATATGGACTAGGATTTTTGGATGTGCTTTAGGGTAAGGCCCTATGGGTTTGGGCCCAATTTGGAAAATTAGTCCATAGTTGGGCCATGGTTAATTATTTGGCTTTTGGGCCTTTAGAGTGCGAGTTTGGGCCTTGGTCTTGGACCAAGCTGGGTTAGGGGTAAAATTATATTTTTACCCCAAGTATGGATTTATGGTCATGCTTTGGAACCCAATTATTAATTGGGTGTTGTTTTGATGTCAATAGTTCGGGGATCAATCAGTTAGCAGCTAGATTTTATCAAATGGACTTCAGTAGTACGAGGTGATTCTCCCTATTGTTTATATGGGTCGAAGGCACCATTTCCGGCCCATTTGGTTTATGTATAGTAGGAAAACCCGGAGGTTAGTCGTTGGCATTATGTATGAAATATCGGGAGGTGGCTCCTGACACACTGTATGCAAGACCAGAGTCTGAACTGGAGATAGTAATTGGTTTCGTAGTATATAGTTTATATGACAGCTATCTTTGTGATGATTGCATGGAAGATTAGGAGGTGGTTCTAGGCACCTGTCTGTAAGACCCAGGGTTGTGGCCTCGACCTGGCAAGTAAGACCACGAGGTGGCTCGTGGCATAATAGCAAGACTATGTGTTGCACGTAGCACCTTTATTGATTATGATATATGAATGATATGTATAACTCCCGGTTATGGATGGCATGTATAAATCAGTTGATATGTATGGTATGTGGTATTTGGGGAACCCACTAAGCTATGTGCTTATGGTTTTCAGTTTTGTTTCAGGTACACCAGTTTTCAAATAAAAGGGGCTCGGGTCTATAACTCCCGGTTATGGATGGCATGTATAAATCAGTTGATATGTATGGTATGTGGTATTTGGGGAACCCACTAAGCTATGTGCTTATGGTTTTCAGTTTTGTTTCAGGTACACCAGTTTTCAAATAAAAGGGGCTCGGGTCTATAACTCCCGGTTATGGATGGCATGTATAAATCAGTTGATATGTATGGTATGTGGTATTTGGGGAACCCACTAAGCTATCTGCTTATGGTTTTCAGTTTTGTTTCAGGTACACCAGTTTTCAAATAAAAGGGGCTCGGGTCGATCGCAAGACATACACCCATGCTTTCCGCAAATTATTATCTATGGGATTAGATTCTGGTAATTGTTTATTTGAAATGTTTTTTAATGTATGGAACAAAGTTATTAAAGTGTTTTTATTATATTAAAAATGAAATTTTTACCTTGGTTTTTTGGGTCGTTACACTATGTTACATTATGGTTTTCGAAACAAGACTTAGTTTCCGTATTTTTCTATGATCATGTTGATGTAAAATGAAAAGATAAGTACAGGATTTATTATTGAATATAAATGAAATTTTGCAGTAAAATCTATACTCTGATTTTAATTTTTCTTATGGATAAATTTTGGGACGCTAAATTGCTACTAATTCACATGTTTTATTAGCATTCAAGAATAAGACAATGATTGTAATGCAATTCATTATTACTTAATTGTTCTACTTAATGGTTGGATGACATCTAATGAACGAATGACCTTGTGAGAATAAGGAAATTCTCTACAAGGATAAGTGATATTAGAGCTTAAGGTATTCATTTTTATGTATAACATATTCTCTTCACTAGTATAAATACTGATTTGGGGCTTCAGCCGTTTATGATGTGAGTGTCTCCATCAAGTCGTCGTAAGATATAGATCAGAAAAAGTGGTTGTGAATTACATTTCCTAGCCATTTCTTATTCATCGTAATATGTTGTCTCTTTTTATTTATGTACTATTATTATCTCTCTCTCTCTCTCTCTCTCTCTCTCTCTCTCTCTCTATATATATATATATATATATATATATATATATATATATATATATATATATATATTCATCGTGGTTCTTATTCCGAAAGGATAACCGACTAGAAAGCACATGATGACTCATTTTTTTCCAACCTTCTAAACTGATCATCAAGTGACAATTTGAAGTTTGGAACCCCATGAATCGCACCTCAACCTTGCCATTGTAATCGATAATCTAGCATTGTCATAAACAAGTCGCACCTCAACTCATGTGAAGTTGAATTACACATCAGGACCTCAACTCTACAACCTACTTTCTCTTAAAAAAAATTGTTAGCCATTGAATTCTTACGGTTTTATCAGACATCATGTGCGGTTTGTGTTTTTAACTAAAACATAATAATATATTTTTGGAGTTTTATACATAAAAATTGTAAGTATTAACTAAAACATAATAATATATTTTTGGAGTTTTATACATAAAAATTGTAAGTAAAAATCGATTTTTGCAGTTGATCGATCATATTCTTGATTCTTTTTCAGATACATCTCGATTTTTATATTGTCTCATGCATGTTTTATATAATAGACAATTTTTTTAAGAAGTTTTATTCTAAACATTAAGTAAATATGATTTATGTTATATTTTATGCATAATATCTTGTGGAATGTATAATATTTGTGTAATTTTAATATTGTAAATTGGTCGGGTTAATAAGGTGGATATTTGTTGATGCGGTGGATACATATATTCGATTATTTAAAATCATGCGAATTATAGAATGGGTTTGAAATAAATTTTAAAATTTTGTTAATGGGTTTGAATAAGGTTGCCTTTGCTCTAAACAGATCTAGTTTTGAAGCTTCGCTATCACAACAGTTTGATCCATTTGGTCGGTTTGATTTTGGCACAATCATATAATTGGATTTATAGTAGTACTCTTTGAGAAAATATTGATTGGTTTAGATGGTTAAAAGATTCAAACGTAATTTTTTATTCTTAATTGTTTATGATGATAATAAAATATTATATTTTATCTTAAATTGTTATAAAAAAAGCCTATTATGTATGAATATCTCCCTTAATTTAACTATTGAACAACTTATTTTTCTCTATTTTGCAATCTTTTCTAATCGAATGGTCTTCAAAATGAAGTTCATTTCGTAGTCCGGTTTTGTTTATTATTTACGAGGCCTACTAGGACATTTTTTCATTCGGCCCAATAGCACACTGTATACCATCTTTATTTGATCTTAAATTGACTTTTCGTTTTGATAATTTTGGTTCTACAATAAATGTGTAAATACGTATATGGCTGACAGATGGTTGTTATTTAATGATATTAGATTATATAGTTTTTTTTTTTATTAAGAAATAAGGCTATAAATTAACTTAAAATTTTCAAACAAAAAAAAAGTTTTACTGTAACATTATTTTTTAATTAAAATTTTTTTGTGTATAGTATTTATTTGTATGAATACTTGTAACATGAAAATAATTATTTAGGATAAAAATGTAATATATATATATATATATATATATATATATATATATATATATATATATATATATATATTATTTATTTTTATTTTTTTTGCGATTTGTGTTTCATATTACATGAAATCTATGATACTAGGTATAAAGAAAAAAAAACTTATAAAATTTTAGTTTTAACATACCAAAAAAATAATTTTAAAAACCATATATTTTTAAAAAGTTAGGGTTTCTATGTCAATATCCTATCTCCTTTTAATAAATATAGTAGTCTATATATAGCAATGATAATGACGGATTTTCTCAAAACTTATGAAAGATTGATTCCGTTTAAAATTTGTAGGTAAAAGCCATCTTAAAGTGAATACTTAAAAATCATAATTAGATCGTGGCATCCTGCATGTACCACTTATAGATAAAGCGTACATGTTGAGAGCAAGTAAATTAACGATGTATACATGTTCACATGAATTGGAGCTTTTTTTTTTAAATACTTCATTGTCATCTATATTCAAGAAAGAAGCAAAAACATATTAAAAAGTGATTTATTTTTTTAAAAGCAGCCACATGCAAAGTTACCAAACATGAGAGATCGTGCATGGAAAATCAACACATGTTCATACCATTTGCATTTGATACGTTTGGTTTCTTCGCACCGGATGCGGTAGAGTTTCTTAAAAGAGTACAACGAATCATGCATAGTAATGCCATATCCCCTAGATCTTTGGATGTAGTTTTTAAAAGAATTAGTTTTACCATTTAAAAAGATTTAGCGACACAGCTTGTTGTCCGTTTATCATCTCACTCATTGTACGATGACAATTAATTTCTAATAGATTTCGTTCGATTTGACTACAAACAAAAAAAAAGGTCATCTTATATCATAATATGATTCTTTGATGAGATTTTACAAGGCTTACAAAACTAGAAACCAACACATCAAAAGTCATTCGTTCCATCAAATATGGGTCAATCTGGGGGCTTCGTATTATACACATATAATACATTTATATATAGAAATGGCACATATAATACATGTGTAGATAGAAATGACACATATACTTTAATACTTTTATATAAATGATACATTTTTAAAACCAATATTAATCAATAAACCAAATAAAACACTTTATAGAAAATAGTTATCAACAATTTAATTTGTGTTTTTGTTATCCTTGTAACATAAAACAATATTTTCTTTCATGATGTAGTTTA